CTGTACAACAGCAATGTATTTTTTATGTCTTGATTAATAACATTATTTTGTAGGATTTATTGTGAAATAAAAGTGAGCGTATACCTCTTCAATTAGTATGCATTATCACTAGAATAGTGCATCTAGTGATTCTACTATACATGATTGGTTCTACATACTCATTGAAAAAAACAGTAGAGGCAATTGTAAATCCTACCCGTGAAGGTGCAGAAACATCAATGATTTCCACAAGAAAAATGCCATCATAATCATACCACCTGCCATGACATTGGTATCTTCCTGTAGTGAACTCCATTCTAGAATGCGATTCCTCCTAGAGTGTATGTGGTGTTACAAACGTCAAACGAATAATGTTTTATATAATATTGACATTATACAATTCAATACACCTTTTCGATAATTGCGTCACCAGTATTTCCTTCGTCTGGGAGCCTCGCTTCATGAATCAAGAAAGCCCCGTTTACACTACGCTCAATTTTTGGTTTCGGGTCCTCATGTGAAGATTACCACAAAATGACACAAATAAGCAGTCTTTAGTCCAGTCCCCGTCGGCATCTGACGTCCGTGTTAAAAAAAACGTCGCTTGCTTAAGCTCTCTATTTAGCTACCAGGACGGTAACGGCTTTAAATACCATGAAATTCATGATTTGTAGGTTCATGATGCTCACGAGAGAGCCGCGAAAAGACAAATTGAACTCATACAGTATTATAATATAAATAAAAATTGTTCACTTACAAAGAGAAGAATATTCCTGAGAATGCACCACTAATGACTGCTATAAATCCCAACCATCCAGCGAATTTCTGACCCACACCAAATTCCTCTAAATTTTGATCTAAAACAGAACACCAACCGCTGTACACACCACAACTAACGCCATATAACGATGCCAGCAATAAAAAATTAAAATTCCTCAAAAGTTTCGATAAACCACGCTTAAAATCTGCCCGTTCGGATCCTGATGATCTACTCGGAGGTTTTGGTGGTCGATCAGGAAAATGAAGAAATATTCCAAGAAATAAAATCCCCATAAGTCCAGCTTCCATAATAAACATTGCGCTAATTTGGCTGAAATATGTCTTTTCTTGTTCTGAGTTTAAAACATATCTACCATCCTTATTCGCAACCACAGTTTCGGCAACGTCATCAACCAGGATTGGACCAATCAGAAATGAAAGGGCACTTCCCGTGAATGAACCGGCCATGACTACGGCAGTTGAGAATGTTCGCTGGTTGCTAGGAAACCACGTTGCTGACAACAGCACACCACCAGATAATGGAATAGGTGCAACCAGTCCACTAATTGTCTGACCGCAGCATATTAAGATAGTGGATAATAACCAGTTGTTATCAGGTGGAAAACATCTTAAAAGTGTTCCGATGAACTGACCTCCAGCTGCCAACAATACTGCAACACGTAAACCTGAGAAGTATAAACAACTGTCAAAAAGTTTTTGTTTTTTGTTTTTTGGGTTTGGAGGTTTTTGGGGTTTGGGTTTTGTTTTGTTTTGTTTTGTTTTGTTTTGTTTTGTTTTGTTTTGTTTTGTTTTGTTTTTGTATGGTAGAATCAACAACACGAGAAACTATAATTATCGAAAATACCTCAGAATTATTCTCAGAGAATCTCATTAAATGAGCGTGCAAATTCTAAATACATTTGGATTGTGACTGGATGGATTTGTGACTTGGATTTTAATTAAATATCACTAATAGCGGGAGAGTATGTAAGGGGACCGGTCAATAAGTATAGGGGGGGGGGGCAGGAGCACAAAGGAGGTGGGTCACTGTGTTCTTAGCCTCGTCAATGGGGTGGGTCATGCAATTGTTGGCCTCTCATAAGGGGTTGGTCATTCTATTTTAAGCAGTCAATAAACGGGCGTAAGCCCGGAGCGAGGGTACTAATTCAGCACGGCAATTTACACCTGGGGAAAGGAAAGTATTAGAGAAGTCTAAAGTTTATCAATAATCGTGGGCGCATGGCTATGGTTACCGTCCATGGGTAGTCATCCTCACTGATCTGAAAATATAGCGGACTGTCATGAATAGCGAATACTGATTCGTCAAATTTAAAATTTGCATTATAATGGCTGCAGATCAGTGGCGGAAACTTTGCAAATTATTGGGGGGGGGGGGGG